CAACGCCATCGGCAGCTACGTGTGCGTGTGCGTGAACGGCTGGAGCGGGCCGGACTGCTCCGAAAACATCGACGACTGCGCCACGGCCGCCTGCACGCCGGGCTCCACCTGCATCGACCGCGTCGCCTCCTTCATCTGCGTGTGTCCCTACGGGAAAACAGGTGAGATAGTGCAGTGTTTTTCAACCACTGTGCCTCGGTACACTAGTGTGCTGTTAGTGATGGTCAGGTGTGCCGTAGAAAATCATCCTATTTCACCTAATTGGTCTAAAAAAAATTTTTGATAAGGAATTAATTTTCTGCAAATAGTATGCCATTTTTGAGTGTCTGTTTAACTAGTGACTGGTGGAGTAATCATGTAATAATTCCTTATGACTAGATTTTGTATATAATTTTGTATATTGAAGTGGACAAGTTAAGTGCAATTTGAAAGAAGAAATATAAAATAAGATAAACATTTTTGTGTTTATTTGATTCCTATTCATGACACTTAAGGTAAGATAAGATAAAATAAGAATAACTATAGTGTTACTATAGGCGGCTACAGATTTGTTTGACATTTTTGGTTGGTGGTGTGCCTCGAGATTTTTTCAATGAAAAACTGTACCTTGGCTCAAAAAAGGTTGAAAAACACTGAGATAGTGCACACAATGGCAACTCAAAGGGGCTTTTCTTTTTTTTCTTTTTTTTTTATGTTTTATTTTTTCAAAGTTTTCAATACAACATTAATAACACAGAACAGTTCGACATAGAGAGCAGTTAACAAAAATGTAGTTTGTTGAAAGTAACGATGAATCATGGATCATTTTGAGGTACAGCACACTTTACCCTGTAGGAGTCCCATTTAACCAAAGTTTGTGAAAAATGTCAAGTTTCAGGTGGATTTTAAAAGTAATTTGTTCCATATTTCTTATAGCAGTCATGGTTTCAGTCCAGTTTGAAATCGTGGGGGCTGACTGTGTCATCCATTTCTTGGTTATGGCTTTTTTTCCAGCGGCAAGCATTATATTCCAAAGATATTTGTTTACTGTGTCCATTGCCGGTGTTTTCAGTCCAAGGTACATCGTCCTGAAGTTGAGGGGGATGGTGACATTATAAATACTTTGCATTATACTGTTAATTTCTTTCCAATATTTCTGGATAACTGGGCATTCCCAAAACAAATGATTCAAAGGGCATTGAGGGGAAGCAAATCCATTTAGACGTATTTAAAACAATATTTTTATGGTGCAATTGGACAGAAAAAGGACCAAAAAGAGAGAGAGGGTTAAATTAGCTTAGTAAAAGTCGACTAAAAAGTTTTTAGTTTAGGTTTAAATGTGTCCAGAGTTGGAGGAAGCAGCCAAAGTCAGGAGCCCAGAACAGAACAGGAAGAATGGGCGTCAGGAGCCCAGAACAGGAGGGATGAGTTTACATTAAATTAGCTCTGGAAACAAAGTCTCTGGCTCTGGCTTAGAACAATATTTTTATGGTGCAATGGTACAGAAAAAGGACCAAAAAGAGAGAGAAGGTCAAATCGGCTTAGTAAAAGTCGACTAAAGAGGTTTTAGTTTAGGTTTAAACGTGTCCAGAGTTGGATGAGGCAGCCAGCCTCAGGAGCCCAGAACAGAACAGGAGGGATGTGCTCAGTTTTTCTGGTTCTTTTAGCATCGCAGTAGTCAAGCATGGACGAGATTAGATGAAATCAGCTCTGGAAACAAAGTCTCTGGCTCCAATTTAGGATTAAACGTGTCCAGAGTTGGAGGAGGGAGCCAGAGTCAGGAGGCTAGAACAGAACAGGAGGGATGAGCTTAGATAAAATCAGCTCTGGAAATGAGATCTCTCTTGCTCCGGAGATTTGTTAGAGGGGGTAAAAAGTTGATAACCACCCCAGCAAACACAGCCTCTACAGACAGACGAGGTCTGTGCAGAGAAACCGAGCAGAAGCAGTTTTTTACAGAAAGTTATGAGACGTTCTGGAGAGGTGGGCGTCTCCAGCTTCGAGGACAATTGTCTCCTTTTTCTTTGGATGTGTGGAAGCACATTTCTCACATCGAGTTTGTGTGTGCAGCCCTGATCTGGAGATCTGAAGTCTTTATGTTTGTTTTGGATGGGCCGAAAGCTTTAATCTCTGTCTTTTGTCAGGCCTGCTCTGCCACAGAAACGACACCTGCATCAGTAACCCGTGCAGGAACGGCTCCCAGTGCGACACGAACCCCATCAACGGCATGTTCAACTGCAACTGCCCCCCCGGGTACATCGGCACCACCTGCAACATCGACCGGGACGAGTGCAGCATCGGTGAGCAGCAGAGACCGATAAAGTACTGGAGGAGAGGAGTAGAAGTACAAGTACTATATAAAAAAATGTACTTGAGTAAAAGTTGAAGTGTTCTTTCAACACCATACTTAAGTGGAAGTACATAAGTACTCTGTTTTTTTTTTTATTAAGTATTGCAAGTAGAAGATTTTCAAAAATTGCAACTCAAGTATTGAAAGTATAAGTAAAAGTACAAGTACTGT